TCTGGAGCAAAAAACACAACAAATCAGAGCTTTCTTAGAAATGTTGATTTCAACTTCTCATTTTATGGACTAGAATTCAAGATTCAGAGAGATGATACCCCTAAATCAATAGTCACTGAGTTCCTCTGGAAAAACAGATAATTGGATGCAATCTCATTGGCCACTCAAATGTTATTAAACAAGTTACATTAGGCCCACATAAGTGAATATCTTATTGTGCCTTTCTTCATATGTAAATCAAAGTATTGATACTGGAAATATATTCATTTCACAGCTGAAGTGTAAATAAAATATTATAAAATATTAAAAAAAGAAGAAGAAGTCTAAGTGCTTTTCAAGGAAAACTACACTACTCTGAAAAAAGAGATCATGGAGGATTGCAGAAAATGGAAAGCTATTCCATGCTCCTGGATAGGAAGAATCAACATTGTGAAAATGGCCATATTCCCAAAATTGTTGTACAAATTTAATGCAATCCCTATCAGACTACCACAGACATACCTCACAGACATAGAGAAATCATTCCTAAAATTTATCTGGAACTGGAAAAGACCTAGAATATCAATGGCAATTTTGGGCAATAAAGACAAGGCAGGAGGCATTACCATTCCTGACTTGAAATTATACTACAAGGCTACTGTGATGAAATCAGTATGGTACTGGCATCAAAATAGACCTGAGGATCAATGGAATAGATTAGAAGACGCTGAAGTGCCTTCAAACACACTCAGCCACATTTTCTCTGACATAGGTGCCAAACATACTCACTGGAAGAAAAATAGCCTCTTTTACAAATGGTGCTGGAAAAACTGGCTCTCTACATGCTGAAAACTCAAACTTGACCCAGGTCTATCACCATGCACTAAACTAACGCCAAAATAGATTAAAGATCTAAACATTAAAGCAGAGACACTAAATCTTCTGGAAGAAAGAGTATGAGGAACTCTAGAAGATATAGGGGTAGGCAAAGAGTTCATGGACAGAACTCAATTCACAATGAAAGAATTAACAACTGAGACCTGCTCTTACTGAGAAGTTTTTTCACGTCAAAAGAAATTACCAACAAAGTGAAAAGGCAACC